ATTCACACGCAAAAAAATCAATACTTTTTTAAATAATGTGCTAATATATATTAACATGAAGACTCATAAAAGCTATTTTACATTTTCTACATTTTTATATTTTCTGTTTTCCTTTTAATTAAAGTTTTAGTCATTTAGATACGTTTTTGCCATTTTAATTTTTTTTTTTAAATGTCTGTATACTTTATTCATTTAATTTTTTTTTTGTTATTTTAGTACATCAAGTTAAACTAAATGAAAACGAGAAATGTTGCCATGGCAACTAGATATAAAATAAACGTTAATTGAATTTTTTTTAAGTAATAAAGCCTTTCGTTTTAATCTACTATTGCTTGCTTTTGCGTTTGCTGCATCCACACCACTAGGTGTCAGTGTAAGTCCAGGATAACTGCTATATTAGTCGGCTCAACATACAAAAACTGAGTGCACCTTTAATAAACATTGTTTCTTTACAAGAAATATTAATGTACATTTGACTTACGCCAGCATGCAAGACTCTTTTGGTTTTCACATTAGCTTTAAATAAAAGCTGACTCAAGACGGACATTAAGATGGCAAGGCAGTAAGGAGAGAGTGATATGAAATTGACTTGGGCTGTGTCTGAAATCACCCCAATAACCCTTTATCGTGTGCTATTTGAGGGGACAGCCATTTGAAGTGGTGTCCAAAATCATAGTGGAACTAACCATGTTATTTTAATGTATTATCTTAATTATGAACACACTGGTTTGTAGTGCAAACAGTTTTACCATTTACTGCACTTTTGTTATTCTTCTCGTTATTTCCCTACAGAGGCTAATGAACCAGAAGTCTCCCACATTCACAGAAAACGGCTTACATCCACGTTAAAAATTAAGGTGGATAGAGAGCTGCAGTGATGACGTATTTTTGCAGGTCAATCCAGAAGTTTGCATAACCCTGGTTCCTTCAGCAAAAACCAAGTAGCATATTTTTAATTGCATAAAATAAGCTCGGTGGCCAACAAAAGTGTATGATTCCTACATGTTTTGTTCATCACGATAATCTTCACAAATGAACTTTTATGAATTTTTAAGCCTAAATACAACCGGCTGAAGTATAAATCTAAAAAACATCTTCCCTAAAAGTTTACGTTATGAGGCTATGAAGGCAACTATTTCGACCCAAATATGCATTTAGCCACTCGTAACAACCGCAGTTTTCAAGTCACTTAAAAGCTTAAAAAACATTAGTGAGGTATTACTGCTTTATTTTATGTTGTGGAATAAAATGTGAAAATATTTTGCGCTTATGTTAACCACAGACCTCATTTCGGGCATTTCACCAAAAAATCATTCAAAAAAACCAATTGACTTCAGAACAGTGGAACCGGAAGTGCTAAAATAATAATTTGTTTCTGGGTTTTAGCTTGCAACAATATGTCACTGCAGTGCTCTGTAGTGAATGAGGTGAGGTAACACTTACATGAACATTTGCCCATTGATGTCTGTTATGTGCCTATGACCGTCGCAAAAAAAACGTTTAGTTTTTAGTGCATATGTATGATTTAAAACATGTTTTTCCAGTGAGTTCCCATTCTGTCCATGTCAAATTGAATTTTTATGGTGTGACCCTGTTTTGGTTTGGTTGGTTAGAGTTTTATTGGCACGACTAAGATACGATTGAGGGATTCAATTAGTTTTGACTATGAAAGACGCCTCCAATGAGACTCAATCTACTTGTTGCCCCCTGCAGTGGTGGAGGAGCGCTTTAGGTAGGTGGAACCAGGGTCATGAGGTAAAGTAGGAGTTTTGCATCGAGTAGAGGCGATCAATGGGATTTCCTATCCGTCCTGACAGAACTCCAACGTCGGCAGTCGACAAGAGACAGTCCCCGAGATGACTGAGGCTTCCATCACTGTCCAAGTCATGGAAAACTGTCTCGGAGTCTGAAATGAAGTCGGCGTTCAAATGCAAACAGTAACTGAAAAAATAACCAATGCTGAAGTTGATGCAGTGGGAGATCCTTACCGTAGGAGTGCATCTGCTCGGGGCCTAGCTGCGGTGGCGTAAGCCCGTGTCGGAACTGCTCGCTACCGTATATGTTGGGATCCAAAGCCAGTAGTTGTTGGCGTGGCAGAGAGGAATATGAGAGCAGCGCGTCCAGTCCGTGACTGCTGGAGCCATCTGTGGAGAGACAGAGCCGGGTTCACACCTTTCATCAAGCCATTTCACACAGTTGTGTCCGTGTCTTACCCTCGCTGTCATCGTTACTCTGGCGGCCCCCTCTGCTCGGGCCCCTCCTGGTCCCGCCCATCTGCTCCTGTTCTTGCTGTTGCTGCTGCTGCTGCTGTTGTCTGCGAGCGATCTTCTTCATCTGAACTCAGAAAAACAACAGTTTATTGAAGTCCACTGGTCCTGGAACAACATTCCCATATAGTAGTACTTATCAAACAAGCTCCAAAAGTGCGTTTACAATGACAGCGATTAATTTGAATTTAACTAGTAACAGTCATGGGTGTTGAATATGTGGGGTCGTGTTCCCCTCTCTTTGAATAAAACGTAAATTCGTCCCCTGCACTTTTTTCGGCCAAGTGTGTTCACGGAGAGGTTTTCAAGGAGCAGTGTGAATAAATCTAAATTTAAATCTAGAGACAAGATAATCTATGCATGACCTGACATTTTATTTATATCCAAAATGAGGCAGTGTTAACATTATGGAGTGCTAAACGCTTTCATGCAGTGTATGTTTCTTTCATACTCGAAGCTGGAGGGCGCTCTTGTGCAGAAATATATAAAAAAAAATTATAAAAAAATAAAACCTGTCAATAGACAAAAATAAATAAATGAATAAATAAAGTACTGTCAAACGATTAATTGCGATTAATCGCAATAAAAATAAATGTTTTTATTTACGTAGTATATGTGCGTGTACTGTGTATATTTACTATGTATATATAAACACATACAGTATATATTTTGAAAATATATGTATTTACATGTATATATTTATATTCATATAATTTATATTAGATATAAATATATTTAATATATAAACAACATTTTTCTTAAATATAAATCTATCCATCTGTTTTCCCTAAAAGTATCTATGTATCTGTCTATCTTTCTGACTGTCTGTCCGTCCATCCATCTGTCTTTCTAAAAGTAGTGTCTATCCATCTGTCTGTCTATATATCCATTTATCTGTCTTTCTAAAAGTATCTATCTGTCTACCTGTCTATCCATTACAATGTCTGTCTGTCTGTCTGTCTATCTATCTGAATGTATCTGTCTTTCTGAAAGTGTTGCTCTTTTTTCTGTCTGTCTTTCTGGAAGTATCCATCTAACCATCCATCAGCTCATTAGGCCTATAAACATTTCTCCCAAAACTTTCAAAGAAGGCTTTGTCAAGCCAACATTCAAAATGTAATTGACAAGCATTTTCTTTTTTGTCAAAGATCTACAGCTACATGAAGTTCTATGATTTTCAGTTCATTTTAACTCTGCTCTCTTAAGCCACGTTCTAAGCCTCAGAAATAACACAAACACTGAAAACTCTAGTGTTCTAGTGTTTCAAACAGGAAAGTTTTCAGAATTGATCAAAACATGATGCCAGCCTACCTTTGCTCTCTGATTTTGGAACCACACCTGCACGACTCTCACCGTCAGTCCAGTCTCAGCTGCCAGAGTTTCTCTGACCTGCAGCAACAGTATATGCATGAGATGTACATACAGTACATGCTGTTTCCACATATAACGCACACGAGCGGCCTGTGACTGCTGACCTTTCGGCAGGGTTTGGAAGACACCTCGAAGGAAGCCTTGAAGGCGCGCCGCTGTTGTGTGGTCAGGATGGTTCGTGGTCTCTTGGATCTCTTGTGCTCCTTCCCATCATCCCCAGCCTTCCCCCCAACAGAGACACCACCACCATCCTCATCCTCACTCTTCACTGCAAAGGGAAACTGAGCATTGCCTTAAAGGTGAAGAGAGTCATTTCTGGACTATGTTAACATCTCCTGTAATTATACACGACCTTCAGCGAGGTCACTGAGGTTACCTGACTCGGTAGGGGCCGGACTGATGGCAGCCAGCATCTCTCTCTCCTTCTCATAGTCTCCCCGGCAGAGCAGCTGTCCCTCCTTTAGCACAAACTCATCACCTCTCTGCAGCCGGCGCTCACACTCGCAGCAGCTGAAGCAGCCCAGGTGGTACACCTGTCCCAACACACGCATGATGAGCTCCGAGCGGCTGATCGCCTGCAGACAGGCACTGCACTTCCGCACAAACAACCTGCACACACACACACAAACACATGTGCACATGTTATTGATATGTTTCTGAATGTTCACTTTATGCAATGTTTTGTCTGTAACACTGGGTGGCAATATTTGACAACAGACTAGATGTCAGACAAGTAAAAATGTATCATTTCTAGTGCTGTCAAACGATTAATCGCATCCAAAATAAAAGTTTTTGTTTACATAATATATGCGTGTGTACTGTGTATATTTATTATGTATATATAAACACACACATGCATGTATATATTTAAGGAAAATATGTTATGTTTATATATCAAATATATATATAATATAAATTACATGAATATAAATATATGCATGTAAATACATGTAAATATTTTCAAAATATATACTGTATGTGTGTGTATTTACATATACATAATAAATAAACACAGTACACACACATATTTTATGTAACCAAAACTTTTATTTTGGATGTGATTAATCACAATCGTTCGACAGCACTACATTTAACCCTTTAAATCCTACTGTATTATGATACACATTCCTAAGGCCACTAAAATGATCAACATTATCAAAAACTTACTGAAAAAAACTTCTGTTGTCTGATTGATACTTTTTTAGCAAGTAAAAGGCCTTTTAGTTTAATTCTAAAAACATCCACCTTCAGATCTTTAGTGATTGTTACAAAGTAAACGAATAACTTTTGTATTGTTTTAGTAATATTTCAAAATGAACATTTACTAGATCAAATCAATTTAGGTTTAATCCATATAGCATTTTTTAAAGAATAATTATGTTAAAATGTATCAAATATGATGCATCAGGCTTTTGAGGAATAATTATTCGTCTCTCAGTCATCATTGTATTGCACTGCATTCTTTTTTGAAACTAAAATCTACCAAGCTTTGATCATAAAAGCATACAAATATAATCTTTAAAGACAAATTATTGGCAGATATAGAGTAACAATTTATATGCATTTATGTAAGTAGTCGGCTATACTTAAAAAAAGATATCACTTGAGTATGAACTCCATATTCTCACTCTATATGAGTCATAAAAGCCTGATGTACCAAATTTGATACTGAACAAAATACACATGCACATTTTTCATTATATATATATATATATATATATACAGTGGTGTGAAAAAGTGTTG